TCGTCCCAATAGAAATCTTGATTCATCACTGAACCAGATTCTACGCCAATTCGGTAGGTTCCAGGCCTGAACGTTGGTGCACCATTGAACTCGATGTCGACGATGTTGTTGTCTAAGCACGGGGCCAAAATATGGTCTTCTGGAACGTAAACCAGCATCTCTCAACCTGTTCCTGACGGTCTGTGCAGAAAGCCTCCTCAATCCGGGTATTTGTCGAGGCGGTATTGGTCGCCGTAACTGTTCGATGAATCAGATGATGTACCCGGATGTAGCGATCCGGCGCCGCAGTGGTCGCTCGAGGTCGCCCACCACGAGGGCATCTTCTGCCCCAATCTGCCGGCGATATCTCTCCAGAGCCGTGAAATTGTGCTTTGGTGAACATTCATGCGTCGATCGGGCAACTGCACGTTAAGACTGGCCAGCTTCAAGCAAACCAATGGCGATATGACGGTTGGCTTCACTTAGACGAACCCTTTATCAGCGTATATCTGAGCAGGGGGGGTATTAATGTAATGGTTGCGTTGTATGCCGTTTTCAGAATTTAGGCTTGACGTCAAGAAACTGATTCTGTATTGAGTGAGTGAGTTAAGATTTATGAAGTAACATCCGGCAATATTTCAACCATATCATTGACTTAAAAGGAGAAGTTATATTTACGGCATTTCTGAGAACACGAAGGTTACACCTACTTGGGTTATTGATCTAGATTAGAGGGAGGTCATTATACGACGATTTCGTATAGTACATACTAGATATGCTCATGAATACCTGTTAAAAGGTGAGGATCCTCCGTTTTGTATCCTTCTGATGAAAGAATCACAGTCAAGCATGTCCTGCTTGACTGTATTGATTTTCATCATAAAGAATAATATATTTCAATGTCAAAACAGTTAAGGATCTATTATAAAATATTAATTATCATTTAAGGAATTGATTTTTTAAAGGAAATAGAATTACTTGATACATTTTGAATAATATGTTTTGTAAATGAAAAATGATATTTTAAACATGGTAGTATAAAATTAACAACTACGATTGTTGGTGGCTGTATCCTCGAAGGGGTTAAAGTAGTATTATTGTATACTGGTATGCTATTATTGTCCTCCTGAGCGGATACGTATGTTCCAAAACTTTCAAAGCTAAATATAAACTTCCCAGATGTTTAAAAGCGTAGTATTTTTGTTCTTTTAAAGTTTGGCTAAATATTCCTACAATCGCCAGCAGCTGAAGGGATGGTGTAAAATCCATCTAGGGTTCATGCAGGTAGCACAGGCACTGTAAGTCCCCATGGTCCCTTGTATGGTGATCTACCTTCTGTTGTTGGCGATCTATAGCCTATTTTTTATATTGTATCGTCCTCTATAGTTAAACCGTTTTAGATTTAATTACTAGTTTTCAATATATATCTGTGATTATCTAGTTGTTTTACTGTCCTTCGTTAACAGGTGTTTATGATTTATTTGTCAAACATTATAAATCTATACAATGGTTTTAGTCATGATGGCTGAAATATTGCCGATGTGACTTAAAATCTTAACTCACTCACTCACTCACTAAAATGTTATCAACTGATAATAAGTGGAATAAAATTACAAAACCTGTCGACGAAGGACAGTGAAATAACTAGATTATCACAGATAGAAAAGTAAAACCAGTAATTAAATCTAAAACATTTTAACTACAGAGGACAACACAAATAAAACCAACCTGTAGATCTCCAACAACTGAAGGTTGATCACCATACGATTCTGTATTGAAGTTGTAAGAGTCTGCTGGCTTTGGTGTAAACAGTACATGTTTTCCTGCATGTCATCATCACGTGTGTCAATTTTGTAGTTGACTATGAAACTGAATGATTACCTTTTACCCAAAACAGTCAGATGAGACGAAACTCCGTGAAAGAGCTTTCCATTGCCTGACAAGGTAGCAATATGTTCAGTACAATATGGGTGTGTTGAACACACTGTCAATGGAAAGACACTGCCGTCTGGGCGATGTAATCAGAGCGTTCATTGTTCTCAGTGCTCGTTGTTGTCCTTTCTACGTCCTTGATCATGATTTGTTGGTTAAAAACAGCGACTGCACGGAATATCGGTCTTAAATATTTATAAAAGTACATACGGCGTCATTTACAAAGGGTCAAATGATATATAGGACATTGATAATAAAAGTTAATAATAAAATAATAGAACTAAGATTGTCATAATGTTTAATGTGTTGACAAACGTGAGACACTGCGGAGTCCTGGAACATCCACTGATAATGTGTGACACGTCGACCGAGTTCACCCAAACACGCTCAAATTGGTTGAGGTCTGGCGAGCATGCTGGTTACTCTATCCGCTTTACACCCTGCTGCCTAAGGAATTCCGTGTCAGTCCTGGCCCTGTGAGGCCTGGCGTTGTCGTCTTGCAGTAAAGAGCGTCGACCATGAAAGCTATGCATTACTTGTACGATCATTATGTACAATCTAGAAATCCAGTTGAATTGTTCGTGGAGAAAAGTCCAGATCACGCAAACTAGCTGCCTCACGTAGGTACTCAAACACCTTTTACGAATTATTTATGATTATACAACCAATTATTTCTTTGAAGCCTTTTAACTTATGGGACGGATGAAGGAATTCATAGTTTTATCCTTTTCTGATAACTATTTGAGAAAAGTGTTACTGTTGCCTCAGTTATTATGTTTACATTCATTCTAAAAACTAAACAAATCATAAATGCATCGAAATAATTTAGAAGAATGACCATTTATTGCACAAATATACTTATGTGACGCCTAACAACTTTTTCCATTTCGAAGCTGTTTTAAACAAAATCTATGACTAGATTTTCCCAAATCAGTATTTTGCCGTCGTTGCGGTAATGACATTTTGATTTTAAAGTTGCAACGTCCCAATAAATTTTAAGAAAACGTCTTGTCCAAACTTCTCTGCTGATGCAATATACCAATCATACAAACGTGAGTAGTTAACATGAAGACATAAAATCTACAAACAATACGAATACAATTTCTTAAGAGCAAAAGCTGAAATTGCCCTTTTCTATAGAATGACCCATTAGCATGTATCATTTTAGCTCAGAACTGATTCTATACATAGGAATTAACATAGCAAAATAACATAAAAGATTAATGTTATCATAAAATTATGTTAACTAAAAACTTCATGGAGAATAAAGAAGCCGCCCATTTGTGACGTGGTGTTAGTGGTGGACGAACAGCAGGTCGCCTACACCGGAATCCGACGGCCTTAAACGATGACGAACGGTGCTCCTGGATATCCTTACATTGTTAACATTGAAGTGTGCTGTCTGAAGATCTGCTGCGTTAAGAAGTATATTACGTCACGCAGTGTTAATCGTGTACCCTATCATCTCGGACTGTTGTGACTCTGGGGTGACCTGGTCGACGTGCATATTCCACGGACCCATTGGCTTGAAATCTCTGACAGAGTCTACCAATAGCACTCTGACTCACGTTATAGTGGACAACAACCTGCTGCTGAGTTTCACCAGATTCCCAAAGGCCTATAGACTGACCCTTTCAGCAAGTGTAAAATATCCGTCTAATTTAAGCTGAGGATTTCAAACAGGTACGTGAACATGACAGTGAACGACATTGAAAAAGCATAGCTGCATGTGTATTGTCCTCCACTTTCCATGGGTAGAGCGACTTGCACATACAATCATTGACATAGAGTGGCAGATTGATTTCCACATTGACAATTTAGAATTAAAAAGTGCCTTTTGTAACAGAATGTATCGGACGTTAAAGAACGTTATAATGCCATTTCAACGGCCTGGTGTGATTTTCCAGAAGGTAAAACGATTCAGTTGTATATATGTCAAACAAAGCGAAACTTTTACAACTTTTCTCAGAAATAGTATTACCAATAGCTTGACCCTTCATTAATGACGCCGAGCATATGATACAAGAACAGAGTATACATGATACAGGGAATATGCATAATTTCCTGGGGAACTTGACTACTGGATTCGAAATCAAACTTGTTTGGTAGACTCGTAACCAATTATCAAATGAATCCTCGTGCCTTACGAGGTGCAGTTAATCTGTTATGTGTCAGTGAAATTCATTATGTAAAATTGTTTCAAATATAATTCTGTGAACCTGTTGACATTTGTGGTAACACATTGGTTGATGTTGCTGCAAAAGCGGCTCCCAACAAATCTGTGACACCACTTATGATGCCCTACACTGACTAGAAACCTTTGATTAGATCTTATATCCGTGATTTAATGCACCAGAAGTGGGACACCCAAGTAATTATTTTAAGGTTTGGACGAATATGTTGATAGCTGAGATTGTTTGTTGCTTAACGTATCCTCAAAGGGGTTGAAGTAGTGTAAAGTACTTACCCTGAGGAGGGTACGTAAGATTTCCACGTCATTCACAGTCTATTTATTTGTATTTATGTTTTTAATAGTAGGATATGTGTTAATTTATTTCATGGCTAAATTCATCAAAATCGCTAACATCTCAAGGGATGGTATTCATCCAGCTAGAGTCCATGCAGGTAGCAAAGTACTGTAAGTCCACATGGTCTCTTCCACGGTAATCGACCCGTGAAAGTCCGGGTTAGAATATTGGCCTTCAGTAACCCATGCTTGTCGTAAGGAGACGACTAACGGGATCGGTGGCCAGGCTCGCTGACTTGGTTGACATATGTCGTCAGTTCCAAACTGCGCAGATCGATCCTCATGATGTTGATCACTGGATTGTCGGGTCCAGACTCGGTTATTTACAGACCCCACCATATAGCTGGGGTATTGCTGAATGCGGCGTAAGACTAAACTCACTCACTCACTCACTTTTACTGTCCTTTGTTAACAGATATTTATACTGTCTAATTCTATTTACAACTCTCATAGTCACGATATAGATGAAATAATGTCGATGTGACTTTATATTGTAACTCACTTTCTGTTTATGGTCATCAACTGTCATGATACAATCCTCGGAATCACCATCTACAAATGGCCCATCTGTATCCAAAAGTAGCCCAGTGACTGGTGAACAAAGAAAACGAAGAAGGTATAGGTATACCCGCATCTTCTTTGAGTGAGTGAGTTAGGTTTAACACCGCCTTCAACAGTACGTCAGTTACATCACGGCCTGTCAGCAATGACGGAAGACAAATCTATACTACAAAGGAACAATAATATGCGTTATACTTGACAAAGTCAAAGTTAATTCATACTGGCGTCTATCTACAGTCTTCTTACTTTGGAGGGTAAGGGGTGGGGTTGCTGAAACCATCAGCCGGGAGAGTGAGAGGTCAGTGCTTTGATTCGCTGCTCTTGTCATAAAAAGACGTTAAAAGATGGTACTTGTGTCCCTGTCTTGATCTAGACACTGCGGGGAAAAACAGAGACTGGTCAGTTCGGAGTTAGTACACACATGTTTGGACCAAATTGGCCCTAAAATTCACAGAAGTTAGTTTAAACATGCCATTATCTAAAAATGAAATAAAATGCCTAATAAATCCCAACATCTACCAACGGTGGCAAAGTTACTATCAAGATTTAACTCGGAAGCTAAAACTCTTCTCATTTAAAAGCTAAAATCATCACTCAGCCTCAGCTTAACATATGTGATTCGCTGGAAACTGTCAATGGTAAGGAGCCAGACTGTGATGTTTGTTATCCATTCTCAAAACTCACTAACAAACCGTGTCCATTTCTTCCAGGTGTGAGCTACCTGCTGACAAATATTCATGGAGTTGCAGCGGTAGCAAGGGAAACAGGGGATTCTACCTAGTTGATTACCCACAGCTGGGGTATAACGTCACATCCACTGTAGCGCCATACAGCTGGAATTATACTAATATAGATACGTCTGTAATGGTGACGGTGGGTGTGGAAACTAAGGCTGTCGTAATCCACGTCTTCGGTAAGGACATCAGTATTAACGGATACAGTGGATATGGTGCGTTTATCCCCTCCGATCTCGGCCCTCAGTCCAAGGTATGCAGTGTCCACCTGCCTGGTTTACACGGATTATGTGGTGTTAGTGATTGCTAACTACAACCAGAAGACGGACGTGGACATAACGCTGATGCTGGAGGGGAACCTCACCTATGACAACATGACATACAACGACGGAGACACGATTCACGTGAGTCTAGATGAGTATCAGACCTTCACGTTGAAGAGCGCCTATGACCTGACTGGAACTGTTATCAACACAACACGTGCTGTAGCTGTGTTTCAGTGGGGCAATGGAAGGACGTGATGTCAAAGCCGTTGCACAACTATTACCTGTACGACATCATGGTACAGAGTTTGTCCTGTCTACACAGGATTTATCCTCTGAAAGGGGCCCTGCATACCAGCTGCAAATTGTTGAGTGACCAGTTCGACGCTGAAATTATGTTGAACAATGGATCTATATTCTCTCTTGGTGACAACCGTGTGTATCGTCAAAACCTCGTGTATAACGAGACACTGTATTTTAATACCACAAGACCTGTCATTGCAACCTTGTGTAGAGTCGGCGCACTAGTACACTCCACATGGGTTTGTTGTTTGTAACTCCAGTTGAAATATTTTATTAACAATGCACAGGTTCATTATGCACAATGTATAAACATACTGACTAAACAACACGTAACAGATATTGAAGTATTTAGCAGCGACATGACCCTGCTACAATGGACTGGGTGGACATCCCTCGTAGTGATTACAAACAGGGAACAGCTTGTTTACTCGAGAGTTACTTTGTCCGCTCTACCAACAGATTCGCTCTGTATGTGTTTCGCTACGATATTATCACAGGAGGCTACCATTTCCCAGCTGATCAATCAACCACACCTGCTACTACAGGTAAGTTGTACGATATTCTGATTTTGGAAAAAGATACAATTTAAACAGGAGATGTACATACGTTGTTTTTCAGTGTAAGATTATGGAATCTGTAGATTTATCGCATTCTGGAATTACAATGTAGTTATATAACGACACATTAACTGTTGCTTTTTGTCAGAAACATGACACATATATTTGTTTGATAGATAGAAGGGGCGTGTGGCAAACACATGTAATACACATAGATGAACAAGAGTCTCTACGAGAAACATACACGAAATATATTTTGAGGCATGATTTCATGTGTCATTCAAACTGCATGAGCGAAGAAATAAGTAAATGTATAACGGGATCTGAGACACGAACGGCTTCATTTGAATATTTTTCAATAATGTTATTAACTTAAGTTCGGTGGACAATTAGAACCATTCATGCTTAAACTGTGGTCATTATGTGAGTCCTGAATATTTACAATGGTTTTTCACATTTTGAATATTCTTTTAAAAAACCAATTTGCCGTCACTGTGCGTGTCCTGGATACTTTCGATTTGTTTTGCAGATTAAATATTCATATATTAATAACCTTAGGGTCATCATGAGTGAAGTGTTTGTTTGTGGAGTGATGAAAAGGATGCGTGCATTATTTTTCAATTCTGTCAACTTCTGCTTTACACACTTACTCCAACGTCTGTCACCCTTTGTCACTTACCTCTAACCAAGGAAATAAGCTTTCGTATTTATCGGTGCTACACCGGCTTATCTACGAAAGCCCTAATGCTGCTACTTTTGTAGCATAAAATATCTTTCAGCGACATTTCTCGTTGCTTTGATTATTTGGTTCATGGGGAGTTATTTTCTCGTTATTTCAATTATTTTCTCGTTACATCAAGTATTTTCTCCTTGCTTCTAGTTTCTTTCAAAGTTGTTTCGAGGGTTTTCTCATTGCAATTATTTTTCTCGTTCCTAAACTATTTCCCCTCGTTGCTTCCAGTTGAATTAAATTAGTTTCAAGACTTGAATAACAAGGAAATACTCGAAGCAACGAGAAAAACAAGTCAAAATACTCTAAGCAAACGAGCAAATTTCAAGTCAGTTTTTCACAGAAACTTGAAGCAACGAGAAAATATTCAGAACAACGAAAACTTTCGCTGAAAAGAATTTATGCTACAAAGATTAGCAGCATTAGGCTGTCGGACATATCTACACTATAAGTAGTCAATACTTCACGGGATTGTGTACGCAATACACCTTCAATATTTCACATTTTGTTTATTTTCAGCACTTCACAGGCCTTTATCAAACCAATGTATATCTGCATACTGGAGATATAAATGTTTAACATCACATGTAGAATTACCCTATCAGTAAACGTATTCAGTGTGGCCAGCGGAAGCTTAACCATAAGGTTGCCCTAGTCACTAATATGTTTCTAACAAATTATTATTATTTTTATTATCTTATACAACGACAGATGCCCGAGAACATTGCATACATTTATATAATAATCATCCTGTCATGCCTCAGGATTGTAGACACTACAAACTTCATGTTACTACCATAGCTGTGGATCTCTCTGCTTCAATCATTATTTATACTCTCACTTATATTATCATTCAGTAATGTTGAACATGGCATCTAACAAATATTTGAATTGCATATCATGTTTCAAAGCTTTGTGTTACCTTACCTTGCAATGTGAGTATATGGACAGTGTAATTATGAAGTAGTCTTTTTGAAGCTGAACATTTTTAACACTTTGATCAGTAATAATATTGTATCAGATTGTTGTACATGAATTGAACTGTATTTTCTTCTCTCCACAATCTACTTGCCATATGTAATGTTCAGGTGTTGCGGAAAGGTAATATGATTTATTACACTTCTCGTACATCCTACAGAAGCAGATCTTATCTGTACCTCCTACATTAACTGAAGCCTGATCCGTGTATTCAATACTGTATCCAGGAATTGGCATGCATTTAGGGGTTTCAGACTGACAGGGTTCAGACTGACAGTGTCCTGATTGACAGGGGTTCCGTCTGACGGTGTCGGATTGACAGGGGTTCAGATTGACGTGATCCGGATTTACAGGGGTCCATATTTTCTATTATTTTTCCTTAAACAACTGTTTTTATTTTACCTTCACTAAGACTGAACCATTATTATTCAGTAATATATTTAAATTCTACCATGACTTCACTAAATACTGGATTGTGATTGGTTAATTAAAGTCATTCTGGGGTACATAATCACGTTACATACCTCTGATTTTCCAACACAGTGTAGATATTTTTTAAAATCTTAATAACGGTTATTATGGTGATAAACATAGTGTGTTGGAAAATCAGAGGTATATAACTGAAATGATAACAGCTCTAAATTTTTCTATTTAAAACCTCATGCTACGCGTTCGTAGCTCTGAATTTGATTTAAAACCAGACGCGTAGCATGAGGTTTTCAAATACAAAATTTAGAGCTGTTATAATTCGTTATATACCTCTGATTTTCCAAGACAGTATGTTTACCTCCTAAGTATATAACTGCTGGACAATAACAGCATACAACAATAGGAAATGATACACATCCACAAAACCATTAATTATCTCATATTGTTCACTAAAACTGCAATTTAAAACTCATATTCATATTAGCATAACGGTCATTTTGTATTTTTTAACTTGTGCAAATATTCTGAGCATAGTGTGCTAAAGTCAAATTTGTGACATGTCTAAGTATATTTGGTAACCGAAAATAGCTTTGATATTACCTTAAAGAGAAAGTTTTGATGGAGTCAGACACGTGAACGATTCCATTCTTATATGTAATTATTTTTGTCATATTTAACCTTTCCCTTATGTTGAATGTCTTTGTTTAAAGATTTCCTGACCTGCTGACCTCTATTTGTAGTAGTGGTGGTCCGATTAATTTAAATAATTGAAGATTGGTCGCTATGACTAAACGACCAAACAATCGATCATGTGTTCTCATAATCGAACATAAACAATTTTGAAACTCTTGTTTGCATTAACAATATTTTTCACAAGGTTGGTTTTATCTGTTACATTTCAGAAGCACTACAAGCTCGTTCCTTGTTATGATTGAATTTATCTTAAAGACTCAGGAAAATGTTCCTAACATACTAGTCATCCTTTAAAGATGTGCAATTTGAAAAACAACAACGCAAAGAACTACCTGTTTTATATATATATATGTTTTTGATGCATTAATAAACATAACCAGGAAAATTTGACAAATGATGCTAACCAATTATTTTCGATGTTTGATTGGTTTGCAATGAACCAATCATCAATTATGATATTTTAACCAATTCCCAACACTAATTTGTAGTTAATTGCCACATGTTTATATATAAATTTTGTTTATGTTGTAGGTCTCGAGGACAAGTCGTGCTTGAAAAGTCAAAACTTGGAAACCTGTGATACACATTCCATGTGGACTTATGAGAACGTGATTGTTTATCCATTGATTGTTTCCTTTAAAAGTATAAGATTAAAACATTTCTGTGTGAGTTTCTTGGTCATTTTACGCCGCACACTAGTCAGCATCAGGCAATCCTCTGACAGACATCCTTTGCATCCATCTAAACACATGGCATGAAGACTACATCCACCAAGTCAGCGAACCTAGACTGCTCAAGACCCAGACACAACCGGGTATGCTTGTTAGTACCGAAATATAAGTTTCTCTCGTCAAAGAGAATAAATCAGCTTCAGTTATAAAGAATTTGTAAATGACATATAATCATGGTAGGTACGCATGGGTGGCCCAGTGGTCTGTGGCGCTAGAAATCGCCAAATACAAGTATGTGTCCAGTGGCCTGTATGTAAGAAACGTATGGTGGTGGGTTCGAATCCCGGTTTGTCCTGATTATGTTTCTGAGTTGGCTCAATATGCCACACACCCATGCACGTGTGTTTTACCAAAGTGGTAAATATCTAGCACCTGCATCACTTCGGGTTTTTCCTACATCAAGCTGAGAAGCTGAAATACTGTTGACGACGGCGTGGAACCAAACACTCACCAGCCAAAAGTGACTAAATCATGGCGGCCGTTATACTCGGCAGTAGAGTGACCAGAGCAAAGATACCTGCCAACTGCGCACTGAGAGAGGTGCACCTAGATTTGGTGATGTGCGCTAAAATGGAATCATGTTGAATTATGGTTGGTTTTAGAACCTTCAGACCTGACACAACATTAACTAGTCCCACACGACAGGACACTTCTACTCGAGAGGATCCACTCACAAAATTCCCGCTGGACCAGATAAATCCATTGACTGACACCAGCGTTCAACGAAGCAAATAAAATTCGTTGGTATGCATTCAACCAAGTCACTGAAAGTGTAAATGACAACTCCTAAATGACCGTGTGTAATCATGCCTTCATAGCAACAGATTTATCTTCATGGCGCAGTGTTACAAAATCATTTCATTATCATTCTAGACAAGGGCCGGTGGGGTAGCTCAGTGGTTAAAGCGTTCGCTCGTCACGCCGAAGACCCGGGTTCGATTCCCCACATGGTTACAATGTGTGAAGCCCATTTCTGGTGTCCACCGCCGTGATATTGCTAGAATAGTGCAAAACTCGGCGTAAAACCTCACTCACTCATTTTAGAAAAGAGCTCCACATGTCAATGCCAGAGATCAAAATTTATAACATGAGCATATTTCCGAGAACAAAATCTGTTTATCTCTCACATGAACACATATTCTCTTTTCAATTTACAAATATAGCCACCAGAAAAGCAATTGTAACAAACATAACTAGATTTACCTCAATAGATGAGTGTTATCAGGTGTTATCGATGAGGAAAAGGTATCCGGTAAACTTGGTATCACCCTACAATAAATATGCAAATGAGGTCACCTAGCAGGAACTACATTTAACAGTCATATATCACTGCAGTGTGTGCTAGCTCTATCAGACACTGACTAACGTTACCAAAACATTTCATGGTGTTTGACTGAATGTGGCTGATTCTGTTGCTACAAAAAGTTGTTTGGCTGAAAGAATAAATGGGACAGTTTACTCTGACATCATATTCATACACAGTTTCTAAACGTATTTCATCGAGCTGAATTAAACCTTAAACACGACTGCTTAAACATGATAACAGTATCAGCTGAGTGTGTTTCCGTTCTGTAAATATCACATATATCTTAAAATTCACTGCGAGAGTATAACCAGCATTTGAAATCCACCAAAGCAGAATCTTTCAAAAGGCACAATTATTCCAAAGGGATCAAAGGCCTTCCTAGTTCAGTTGGTTCTGATGGTTTATATGGTCTGGTGTGTATTTATTGATCGGTAACACACACGAGGCCTTTGTATCTCACAAATGTCTGGTGTGTATTTATTGATCTGATATAAGTATATATGGTATACATTGTACGGTAACACACAAGGCCTTTGTATCTCACAAATGTCTGGTGTGTATTTATTGATCTGATATAAAGTATACATGGTAACGGTAACACACTGATACAAAGGACTTTGTATCGTACCACAAGTGTCTGTGTATGTATATTATTGATATTTTAAAAATGTCTTTTTTATTGAAGACCCATAAAAGAAATAATAATATGTCTTTACAAACACGTGTTCTCACAAATGCTTTTGTATTTATTATTGAATAAAGTATAAAAACCGATTATTTAAATTCATTTTTACTTTACATCTTTTTTGCCATAAGTTAGAAAAACTGATTATTTAAATTCATTGACTACTTCTTTACCATAAGTCTGCACTAGTGATCATAACACGTTAAAAGGTCACGTAATGATCATGAGGCCACGGATAAAAGTAATGATAATATGATTTCCTCGTTTCTAAATATAGCAACTATAGAGGGAAATTCATGCCTCATTATTACCAGTATGTCAGAAATATTCAATGTAAAATTGTGTTTGTATGATGTTAAGAAAAATATTTATCAGCAGGTGTAACCAGCTATGCCAGTGAGCCGATTCAGTTCTCTCATCAGGAGCCACTGGTCTGCCAAGCAGATTTAAGTTATTTCATCAACACTTGTTAAAAACCTAAACTAGAAGCCGACTTATCCGTAGTTCGAGACAACCAAAGTGTTGATTTTCACACCATATAATCACCAAGTTACCTGGGCACGTTTATGTAAAATGACGTAACTGTCATTTTCCTGTTTAGTGGAACAATGTCAGATTAGGACTGGGATTCACACTATGCGGAAAGATTGAATAATACCACAATATGCTTTCATGTGAAGTAGATGAAAACTGCGGATCACGTGTTTGATGTATGCCTTAATGTCTCAGTTCAACTGTTTACTAGAACAGACATATAGTGATGATATTGTACTGTAAAGGACCCGTTACACTTGATACACGACGTAGGGGTACAATACAGGCATGAACATTTACACGTGCAATGTACCTCAAAATGTATCGTGGCGGCGATAGTGAATAATGGGAGGAGCAAATACTACTCTTACAACTATCAAAGCTTGAATACAGCTTTCAAAACGTGTTAAGGCAGACACGGGGAGGAAACTTCCAGATGTGACGCCTCAGTGACAACTCTTGCCGGAAAATAAATGACACAGTGCATACCGACAAAGGAATCATATTTTATTCATACAGTTTCATTTCAACTTCTACATTTGGCCAACAGGTGCTCGAACTCACGTGATGTATGTTTGTGTATATCTGTGGATAGAGTTAATACGCCAATACCTTGATAAAGGCAAACTGCTTAACACACCAAAAGGTCCAGTACAGCGGCTCATTAAAAGCAACACACCGATATCAACCATGAAAGCATTGGAAGTATGATCTGATTCACTTGTAATAATTTATACCTGGTTATGCGTACACACCCCGACAGACGGAGCGTCGCTGCGTCAGTGTCCAGTGTCAGACGCAGCTCTGTGACAATGGGTCGGTTCATAGAGGTGGCGCTACTCCTGGTGGCCCTTGGAAGAGTTGACGGTATGTTATATTTTGTCATCGAATCCGTAGTCGTTTAAAACAATTAAGGTTTCCTTTGAACATTTCTGTACCCATTAACTACGATCTGTATGAAGGGTGGTGTTTTAAAACCAACGGTTTTACCCATAAAGGGGAATCAAACCCGGGTCTTCGGCGTGACGAGCGAACGCTTTATCCACAAGGCTACCCACCGCCCCTGCATGTGAAGAAATTATGTACAGCCTTTTCGACTGGATAACCACACAAACAAGAGGGGATGGAACTCCCATTCTTAGTTAAAAAGTTACTCTTAGACCATTTATGAATAATTCTTAAGAGTTAGTTTTAGCTTTATAAGATTTTGTTTTGGTAATCTTAGAGCAAAGGCTAAGAATTTCTCTTAGAATTTTACAACTAAAATAATTCGAGAAACGTTTGTTAGTCTTACACAAGCTCAGCAATACATCATGGTTAATTGAATCAAAAGCCTTTGAAAATAAAATCTTCCATTCTTTTAAGTGCATACTTACGAACAATAGAATGCAAAACAGAATATGCTATCAATAGTTGAACGATCCTCCTCTGAAGCCGAACTGTGCTTCGGCAATAATACTCATGTGTTTAGTACACAAACTCTGAAGCCTAAAGTTAAGAATAGAACAAAAAAACCTTGCATACTGTATCGATTACAGAAATTCCTCGATTATTATCAGGAGAATGCCTATTTCCCTGACTTACCTTACAAAGGGACATATAATACTCTTATCCCATTCTTTGGGAAAATTGACACTTTCAAATATCTTATTAAACAATAAAACTAATACAGATGAAAATACAATTCTTAGTTTCTTTAGAAACTCTGCAGCTAAACCATCAGGACCAGGTGATTTATTTAATCCAATCTTATCTATATGAAACAAAACTTCCTTAAGGGTAATAGGAGCATTAAGACTGAATATATTAACAACTCCATGACTCTCCAAATTATCGTAACTGAAATCACTAGTAATATCATCTACACATAGGAGATTTGCTAAAATGACGTGTCCAATCTTCACTACCAATTTTCTGCGAAATACCATCACACACATGACCTTGCTTAAGCTTTTCCAAAATAATTTAGCATTATTTCTACATTCAATTAGGTCTGTTTTCATTTTCAGCTGAAAAAAATACTTCCTTTGCTTCTAAATTTGGCCTTGGAATAGATTTCTTAATGTTCTGAACTCACAGAAATCCTTGCCATTATCTCTATGAGCTCTAAGTGCCTGATACTCAGATCTTCAGATCTTCTAAATGCCCTATCCCACCATGGAGGTTGACTATTACTTCTACCCTAACTACTCCGATAAATCCTTTTTAGAATTAACTGCTGCTGATTGGTAGATGCTACTAATAGATGCTAAAGCTTTTCTCTGTGTCCGTATAAATCTGGTCACAAAATCTTCATAAACTTCAGATAGATTACACAAAAATTTATCAGTAAATATTTGACTGTCATTTCCTATCCATACATATTCTGACCATTCGTTGACATCATCAGTGCCATTTTCAGACACATTTTACA